TGTATATAGTTAGTGTAGCTAACAGGAAGTAATTCATAATACCTTATTTTATTTGTCCTGATTTATAGTGTTATGCCTGGGATTTCAGTTTATTTTCAGAGTTATAGGTCACAAAATACAAGGCGTGAAATACAATTTTAGTGTAGAACAATTTTAGAATGTGGTATGTTTGTCTCCTAACTTTAAATAGCCTCCTCGGCACTATATTTTCTTATTAAACATTTTTATAAAAACTATTTAAAACTTCTTTTTTTTTAAACTAGGGGGCACTAAGCGGTTTATCTTTTATTTACATGGGCTTTTGATACCAAGTAATCTGAGGAGATACGATATTCACCTCAGAGATACTTTGTACCACTTTTGTAATACACTGAACTGGCTTGCAGCTGCAAGATGCAAGCCGCCTCAGTGCCCGTCACAGCTCTGTGATCACAGCTGTTACCCATTACTGTTATCACAGCGCTGGGACCCCTAATTTGCTGTAGTGTGTCTGCCTCAGACCCCGAGGGACCCATCAATGAGCGCTGTCCTTTCACTTATTGTACCGCAGGACAGGATTATTCCGTCACTGGTCTTTAAGGAACTGAAAGACCGTGACGGAATAATCCCGTCATCGGTCAGGAAGGGGTTAACTCCTGAGTTTTGTGTTACTTTAAAGTGTATTTTCTTTTAACTTGAAACTGTAAAAACGTTTAATAAAACCAAAATCTAAAAAAAAAAAAAAGCAGTGTCTTTATTTAATACTAAACTCTGCCCTGTTCATAACTGTCTTAACAGTACACATTGTTCAGCCAAGTGCTAATTTGCTTACATTTCTGCACCGTGTCCCTTTCCTGCTCTGTGTCCATAGATCTGGCCAGCACATGAGCAGTCTAATGAATGCAAGAAACATTTCTCAGTATTCATTAATATTCTTAGATCGGGGCACAAATATCTCTCCATCGCAGAGCCCTTCTTATTTATTTTGCAACAAATAAAAACAGTTTCCTGTGATACTGGTTAATGGTCAAAATCAAAATTAAAACTATGCATATACATGGAAGGATCATCCTATGGACTGTAATGTCGGGGGGGTCTCCTCAGTCAGCATATGAGGCAGTAATACAAGGGGGGGGTCGGATTATGTATTCATCTCCGCTTCACTGGCAAAGATGAAAAGAATCTTGGACAAAAATGCAT